TTTATGGGAAACACATTTTGATAACTGTCGTTTTTGTGGAACCGGCGATTTTTTGAACGCCTTTTAAACAGAGGTATGTGCCTTGTACGGAAAATTTAAACATCAGAGAGCTGCCTTGAAATATGAGGAACGTAACAGCGCTGCCAACTCAATTTTAGCAAAAAGTGACTTGTGTTGTTTTTCCCAGAAACCCCTCAAATGTCCTTCAACAAGAGATTTATTAAAGAATAAAAACAGTAGAGGATAAACCTTTTATACGTTTAACGAGAAAACAAGTAGGGATATTATTGGCTCCAGCAGGCAAAAATTTTTGTCCGATAATATTTTAGCGTTGTGTTCCAACGTACACGGTGAAGTCTAGGAATCAGTATTCCCTTTGGTTTAGTTTTTCGGCTATTTTCAAAATAAAAAGAAAGGCAAAGTAAAAAAAAAATATAATGATGATGCAACCTTTGAAAAGCTTCAGAGATTAAGAGTTGAGATTAAGGCGGATTTAGATAAGTTGTACTCTGATCATGTGAAGATAGCTAATTCACAGATATATTCAGACCCAAGCAAATTCTGGGCGTTTGTTAAAGACGTGGAACAACTTTAGTTTGCAATGCATTACAATTGCAATAACTTGAATGACGCTTCAGACATCGTAAATACTTTTGCAGATTTATTTAGCACATCTACATCTGATGATGTTGACGCTCTTGATGATGTTCTAATGAGTGCATGAAGATACCTTTTCTATAAATAATTTTACCCAAGATGAAGTTCTTTCAGCGATTAAACAGCTTCCTTTCGCTCACAGTGTACAATATATTGTACATCACTTTATGTAAAACCTAACGAATTTGTAAAGTGCTTCTATCCACTTTACTCACAAAGTACAGTATTATGTAAACATCCTTATTACTATTTTAAACTGTTTCCTTCATCTAGCATTGAGTAGTTTATCAAAAAAAATTACTAATGGTACCTGTTTCTGTTGCAGCGTTTTTTCAGAATGTTGAAATGAGATGGCGTTTCAAACTTTAAAACATTCTTTAAAATTGCTGCAATATTTATTTTGGTAATAACCAATACATGCATTTGTTACTATTATAGTGAACTTGCTCAAAAAATTCAGTTTCTTTTGTCTGTATTGGTGTAAATATTACTGTATAATATATTGTACATTGTGAATAAACGGAAATCCAGAGGTTTGTTAAAAAACTCCACGTTATTTACAGTTTTATTTATTCTTGATTTATTTTACAGAAAAATGAGTAAAGAAGGTGCCATTAACTGAAGAACAACTTTTAAAACTTATAGAAGAGGGCATTGTTACGTGAAATTAAATTTAAATTATTCAAATTTAATTTTTTAACCCCTCGTAACACAATTTAAACGACAACCGCTCGCTTTCTTCTCGAGATTTGCAAAATACGGTTTGTGCACGTACATAGTGTTTCTTTGGGCAACCACACCGAGTTAAAACCAACTCTTGTTGATTCAACCGGCCTTTTGGTTTATCGAATTCAATGTGCTAGTGTATGCCGATAAATAAGCTACTATGAGTGGATTTCTGTAATTATCTTGTCTTTTATATGTGCTTCTTGTGTGTTAACGTTGAAATAATTGTCAGGTAATGTTTCTTTCAACTTATATTTTAACATTTTGCTGGATTTAGTTGGAAAACCGAAAGGATCGGCCATTTGCTTTTTTTATTACTATCATGCTGACGAGTGCCAGTTATTATTATTGTTTTATTTTATTTTATATAGACTATAGCTACCCTACCTAATAATATTTTTAAGTTTTCTTTGATATATACGAGGGGAGGCAACTAAATAATTGAATTACAAGTCAGTCTGGAAATGGCTCTTTACTTATTTTGGCCTCATATTTTGTTTTCTCTTCAGACGATGTAAATTTAATATTTGTTCCATTTATGCATAAGTCCGTTAGATTTCCAAACTGGCCTGTAGATGTACTATTATTGTTACTGAGGTTCTTTTTATTTCTACACCTGTAGTGGCTCCAAGAAGCTCTAAGAAACTCCAAGCTTTAAGCTCCAAGTCCAAGCTTTAAGCTTCAAGTCCAAGCTTTAAGCTCCAAGTCCAAGATTTAAGCTCCAAGAAGCTCCAAGCTTTAAGCTCCAAGTCCAAGCTTTAAGCTCCAAGAAACTCCAAGTCCGAGTTACGTAGTTTCTCCAAGAAGATCAGAGTTACGTAGTATCTTCAAGTTCCGAGTTCCAAGTGCGAGCTTCAAGTATAAGTTCCAAGTTCCAGGTAATGTAGCTTCTCCAAACAAGCTCCAAGTTTCTAAGTAAAGGCGGATTGTTCACGACATACGACAGGGAAGTACCGCTATTAGAGTGCCACATGGTCGAGACAATTAAACATATTAAATATCGATTCAACTTCATTCAATTCATTTTTCAACTTTAACCATTATTAATTTATTGTATAAATTAATTCTTTTTATTTTTTTTTATTAAATGTATTACATTTTCTTACTTTCTTTTATTTGCCAAAACTCATAACAGATAACTTTAAGTACCAGAGACTGACTCAATTAAACAGGGCATATTAAATCAGATAAGTTTTCCAAGTTACTCAAAAACTTGATATCCCTCAACATTTTTGTCGTTACCGCATTATAGTATCTTTCATTTTATCGGAAAGTAAACTTTGGCCCGCGAACAGGTCAAGCTACTCTGATTTTATTTGTCCTTGTCAATTTATGAATCCAGGCAGTATCAGCAATTTGAGCTAAATCACCTCTTAAGTACTATTTACATCGTAGAAATCAAATAGAAGATAACAGCCTATCAGATATTGAAGGACTTAGTGATGGCAACGATGACGATTATGAGGGGAGGTAGGGACGTAGAAGTAAGCGCTGATGATGATGATGATGATGATGATGAAAACATGAAAATAGATGAAAAATCTTGTTGTTTCAGATGCAATTTCCCGGACGAATTTTGTTTGTACTATGTGCAATATAAATTTATGCATTTCAAAAAAACAAAATTGTTTTTTGTTATATCTCACACATAAATGATTAGGTGTACCCTTATGTTGTTTTTAATTTTATCTAATTTTACAAAATCGCAAATACACTACCACTTATTCAAAATGTGCAATATATGGTACAAGTCATATAATATACCGTTTGCTCACAATGTACAGTATATTGTACAAATCACACTCCCTAAAAAGGGTAATAGAATTTTTTTGAGTTCACCAAAAAAATTAAAAAAACAAGAGTATGTCTACCTAATTTCAGATTTTTATCTTAAAAACAAAAATGCGTGAACGAAAGCGTTAAACCCAAAATAACTACGGGTCCTGATGATATTCTGGCTTTTGTGATTCGCGACTGTGCTTCTTCATTGATGTTGCTGTTTGTTATATGTATTCGAACTTTTACTGTACCAGTCAAATTAAAATCATCAAAAGTTTGTCCTATTTTTAAAAAAAGGGAACAAATCGGACATAAATAATTTGAGTATCTCAATCATATGCAATTTTTCTAAAATACTTGAAAATGTATCAGAACGTACATACACACATTAGTAGTAAAATTTCACAGAATCAGCATGGTTTCATTAAAAATCGCTCTACAGTAATGAATTTGCTAAGTATATCGCAGTCTATTGCAGAAAACATTGATAAGCGCTTACAAACATATGTAATAGACTTTTCTAAGGCTTTCGACAGATTTGACCATGGAATATTGCTTCGTAAATTAAGAACTTTCGGAATGTCTAACTCTCTTCTTAAACTGTTTCAATCTTATCTTCAATACATATTTCTCAATGGGTCTGCCAAATAACCTACATTATCAGGAGCCCCTCAAAGGTCAGTTCTTGGCCCCTTATTATTTAATGTGTTTATCAATGATATTGTGGATGTCAAATGAACAAACTACTACCAGAAGTTTGGAAAAAAAATTTTTCAAGAAAGATTTTACTGATGCAAAAATACCTTAACTGTGTAGGAGAAAAATTGTAAATAATGTTTTTTGTAAATAAACTATTTTTGTTTACTAGGCTCAAAGGAAATAGAAACAGCATTCGTACTTATTATATTTAGTAGATTAGAGGTAATTATATTTAAACTATTACTGAGGCCCTTCCTATGGGGCCTCAGTATTGCATTCGTGCAGACGAAAAAATGTTCTGACCCCCATTTTTTAAAACTTTTTTTCATGCTTTCAAAAATGCAAAAAAAAATTTCGTCTGTTCATCTGTATGTATGTATGCCGGCACGATAACTCTAGAACGAAAGTTCTGATTGACTTGCGGTTCTGATTTTCTTGAATAATTACTTCAAACTTAGAACCCTATTGATTTTCAGAATTGTCGGTTCATCCTAACTACTTTATTATTATTATTATTTCATAAATTGCAAACATTCTCTAACGACCTGTCAAACAACAGATGTTGGTAGTAGAGGTGAAATTTCTAAGGCGGGTTGCGACCTTCATACTTGGCAATCATAGCCATTTTGGAGGTTCTTTTCATTCGAAATTAGTAGCCAAGCCTGCCAATTTATGAAAAACATATAAGCAGTTTCTTAAAAAATGACGTTTTTATGGTGGTGCTATTAAGCGTACTACTATTTCGCCCCTAGCCACAAAAACACATTCATCAAATTTACTAGTTCTCTGTCGCAACCCCATAGAATAATTAACCGGCCATTTTATTTGACAAAAATCAGAATAATGCTTGGCTGTGCCTGTCAAGTATCAAGATGTCAACTGTGATATGTGAATGGCTCTTAAATGTCAAATTATTTAAAAATGTATACGTCTTTTGATATTTATTGCAAATAATTTGCAGTGCATCTGAATTGAAGCTTTATTCCATAAATGACAGATAATATAATAATTTATTAATTATATTATAAAATATATATCCCAATTAGTATCTATTGTATATAATATTTTTTTTTAGCAAAATGAAGATACTAATCAATTTTGGTGAGCATTTTATTCCTTAAATATAAAATTGTTTGTACCTTTCTGATAACTGGGTTGGGTACACATTTCGTGCACGCTTTCTATTGGACTTTCCACAGCTCTGTTGAACTGCCTCCTTTGCTGGTCAGTAAAACATTGATCAGTATAAATTTTTAAGCAATCCACAAATTGGTTCCAGGTATTACAGACTTGATCTATATCGTTTAAGTTGTCGGGAAATACTAGATGAGCTTCTTTTACTAACGGATCGGCTATTTTTATGCATTTGTCGTATTCTGTCCTTGAACAATCCATTCGGGCATTTGCCAGTATTGGCAATAGGGTTAGTGAAAGAGTTCGCCACATCTGAAAAAAAAAATAAATTTAATTATAATTTATCCTAAATTTTAACATTATTAAGAGTGTTATGTTTTTAGTACTTTCAGCTTCTGATTTATTATTGTTAAAAGTAGCTACATAATAAGAGGTTATTCAATATTATTTATTTAGCTCTTAAAACGGACTTGTACTCTAGATTTTACTTTTGTATTAAAAAAAAACATTTCAGTATTATTTTTCTTCCCTCTTCATTTTTTTAAACAGCACAATTTCATTATACTGAACATTTTCCAATACTATGTTATATTTTTTGCATATTTATTATTCAAACCTAGGGAGTATGATAAATATTTTGAGTCGTGTTAGGACTTTTAAAAGTTAACAATAAAAATAATTTTTAAAGGACTTTTCGAGTGCATCTCGTGGAACAATATTATGAACGAGCGATCATAGCGTTGATAATGTTTAGATCGCACAGGGCAGCCGGAGCCCCAATTAGCGGCCAAAATTCAAAAAAAAAGTTTCTAGATGGGGTTTTTTCATCATTGGGTTGGCTAAAGGAATACCCCAAGGAAAACCATTTACAATAAGGTTCTTTTCCCTAAATCTTCTCCTCAATCTCAGTCGGAATATATCCTTTATCCGGGCGCTACCCTATCGTAGTCATAGAGCGAACGATAGACGCTACCTGACTTTACATAATGATAACAATAAAGTAATGTTTCAGAAATTATATGAAAATTGAGAAAAGGATCCTGCATCCATTTTTAATATTTTTAAAGTAAACGCAAAAAGGCCATTTTTAGTGGCAAAAGGCCTTAGAATATAAATTGCTTGCAGTTTGGGCACATCATATAACAACAGACAAGATGAAAGTATTAGGTGAGGTTACGTTCCTAAACGCTTGTCGCTCATCAATTTTGTCTCTTGTCCAACACAGAACATATTTTTAATCACAAAACAAGCACTATGTTATAATCGTTCTAACGTTTTTGTATTAACTTACAGAATGGTTCGCAGAATAGTAAATTATGTAACGCGAACAGAATCTGTATATTTTGTTTTAACAGAGTCTGCATCTTGGATACCTACGTCTTATAGATATTTACGGTGCATAGGTGTTTCGCTAAATAGACACATTAGATTGCAGTTACCAACTGTAACCGCTTGATGACCAACAGAGTTAAAGAACAGCGCCAATTCGCCACTTGGTTGACTTACTGTGTTAATGTTTATATATTATTTAGCTTTTATTTAGCTTCATTCTATATACAGGATTGTATTTTCTTAGGTATTTATGTCGACGAGTATAACGGCAACAGAGTTAACAAATATGATGGAAATAAACATAGTAGGCAACAAGAGGCCACTCATTTTAACCTCTGAATACCTTCCCTATGACTCGCCCAGCCCAACAGATGAGTTGAGGAATTTAATAAATACCTGTCGGGCCGAAACCTGCAGGTACTCATTGCAAATTCACACCATATAACATGGGGCAGCAAAGACAACAACAAAATAAGTGAGTCTTTACCTGAATTCATTCTAACCACTAACCTGAAAATATTGAATCGTGGAAACGAACCTACTTTTGTAATCAGTAGACGGAGCGAGGTTATTGATATCACCCTTGGTTCTTCCTTCGTTTCAAATCACATTGGCAAGTGGTACGTGTCTAGAGAGCCTTCGCTCTCAGATCATCGGCATATTCTCATGGAAATCAACAACATCGATAAACCAGGAGATGTTTACCGAGACCCACATAAAACCAATTGGTTTGGATACGGGGTGGAGCTGGGGGCAGTGTTAAAAACCGTTAAAATAACTCTTACTACTAAAAATGATATAGATGGAGTAGCAGAACAACTACGGGACGCAATTATAACATCATATCACAATAATTACTCGTTAAAGAACAAGAAAACTTCTAGGAGGTGAGCTGGTGGAACACCGAACTCTCCAAACTCAGAAGGAAAACACGTAAACTTTTTAATAAGGCTAAAAAGACGAATGGGTCGGAGAATACACGAAAACACTCAAAGAGTATAACAAAACTCTTGGGAAATCTAAGAGGGATTCATGAAGAACATTCTGTTAGGAAATTAAAAATACAACTAAAGGATGCATTCTAGCAAAAGATCCTATAAACCATGTGGGGACTTTAAAAACCCAAACAGGGGAATACACTAAAACTGGAATGGAAACATTAGAACTACTTCTTAAAACTCATTTCCCTGATTGCGCAACAAACTCGAATGTAGCAAACCAAATCCACACGAACTGGAACTCTCAAAAAAGGGTCCCCAGCCAAGAGTGGGAAACTGCTAAACAGGTAGTTACAACAGATAAAATAACATGGGCAATACGCACCTTCAATCCATACAAATCACCGGGACCAGATGGGGTACTTCCTGTACTTTTGCAACAGACAATAGAAACGATGATCCCGCATATTTGTATGCTCTACAGGGCAAGTTTGGTGCATAAACATTTACCAAATACCTGGAAACAAAGCAAAGTTGTTTTAATACCTAAGCCGGGGCATCCAACGTATGCCGTGGCAAAAGCCTATAGAGCAATAACTCTGACGTCATTTCTATTGAAAGGATTGGAAAAACTGATTGATCAGCAGCATATCCGGCAAACCACTCTGATAGAGAGGCCATTTCATACAAACCAACATGCCTATCAATCAGGAAAATCTTGTGAGTCTGCTCTGCATCATCTTGTAACCAAGAGCATTTCTTGACATAAAAGGAGCTTTTGATAATACCTCCTTTAAATCAATGGTAGCTTCCGCTCGCAAACATGGAATAGAAGACACCATCTGCTGGTGGATAGAAGAGATGTTATGCGGGCGGCAAGTACAGGCTTAAATGTTCAGTGAAACCATGCAGGTGAATATCCACAGAGGATGCCCACAAGGTGGAGTCCTTTCTCCTTTACTGTGGAACCTAGTGGCAGATCAACTGCTGAAAACACTAAACAATCAAGGGCTGTACATCCAAGGATATGCCGGAAATGTTATTTCTTCAATTGGATCAATAATTTCTCTAAATAGAGTACTTTTATTATTATTTATTTTTTGAGAGGCCTTTTCAGTTTAACGAAAAAGTCTTTCTTCATTCGAGGGAAACACTAAACTATAGTCTTTGAACTCATGCAAAGAGGCTGACGGAAATGTGGTGCGTTAGGGAAAACCTCTTGGTAAACCCTGACAAGGCACAACCCATAACCATTACTCGGAAAACAAGGTTGGAGGTTTTAAAAACTCAGACTCTGTTTGGAGGAAGGCTAAACAAAACGAACCAAGTAAAATATCTGGATCTAATCCTAGATAGCAAACTTACTTGGAACCAACATATTTTAAATGTCCCTCATTGTAGGGAGACGATCATTTGGAAAAACATGGGGATTAAAACCAAAAATAGTCCACTGGCTATATTTGGCATTAACAAAATCCATGATAACTTATGGAGAGGTTGTTTGGTGTAAACCAGAAAATAGCCCTCAATACCCTCTCAGAAGTACAGAGGCGGGCATGCCTTTGTATTACAGGAGCAATGAGAAGTACACCGGCAGCCTCTATGGAAATCATTCTAAACCTCCCACCCCTTGACCTAGTCATAAAGGGGGAGGCCAGAATGAGTGCATACAGACTTTAAATCTCCAACAACTGGAACCCATTGGGACATATAAAACATACCAGAATAACACATGAAGTAAATGATTCTATATTAATAATGGGATCAGATCACATGACTCTCAACAGACTCTTCCAGGTCAACTGTAACTGGAACGAGGTAAATAAGGAGATAGATAAATACTTGCTTAGCGGTCTCGTATGGTATACGGATGGATCGAAAACTAACAAGGGAACAGGCTCTGGCGTACATGGAGTTAAACCCAAATGCGACATCATCGTCTCACTGGGAAAACATGCCACTGTATTTAAGGCTGAAATACATGCAATCGAATTGTGATGGCGTTGTGATGGCGTCGATTTTGGGTACGTCACAGCGTTGGGCGCCGCCTTGCGTCAAGACGCCTACTGTCGTGGAGGATAGGAAGGTATTTATTACGGTAGTGAGTCGGGACGGAGGTGCTGCGCAATGAAGGGTTACGTCAAGGATATTATAAGGAAAATATTTAAGTATTTAGGGTGGTGAGCCGTTGATCTTCGGGACGTGACAGCATTCGGGAGATAGGTCGTTGGGACACAGAAAGGTAGGGAAGTAGGGCGGCGGGACGTTGATCGTTGGGACATGACAGCGTTCGGGAGATGGGAGGTATTGTAGAAAAGGTACTGCATACTTAACCTGAAATATAATTGAATTCGAAAGCACCTAAATTAGACTGGATTTAAGATAATAATGAATTATACATGATACCAAATAATAAAACGAATGAATCTCGAGTTCCTTGGGTTCGGGTATTTATACCAGTTTTATTGACTTTTGTGACGTCAATGTGTCGTAGCTTCGGTGGGAACGAATTTGAGTGGATAAAAAAGGAATGATCGATTTATTAAAGGCAGAATGACTCGTAATACGAAGGCAACAAATTTAAAAAATATATTATAGACGAGATAGCCCGAGAAAAATGAATTGAAATTCTCAGATTGCTTCCTTACCACGCGGAGTTGAATGTCATTAAACTAATCTAGTCACAATTTCTCGAAACAATACAACATTTAAATTACCTGATGTGCGAAATTTGTTTTCGAATTCAGTTTCAGATGTAAATGGAGAACATTGGAGAAAATGCATTGATCATGTGAAAAAGGTGAAAAATTCATTTTGAAAAATGGTCATAGTATTGGAAAACTTAATGGAACTGTAATAATAAATCTAAGAAAAGATTATGATGATGATACGCGTAGTTATAGGGAAGACAGTGACTTTTAAAGATAGTTGCTTAACTTTTTATTTTTTTTTAATCTTTGATTTTAGGTACTGAAGTGTTACTTTTAATGCTAAGAGATTACAAAAAAGTTTAATCCCATTAATAACATATAATCCTCCTTG